TCTCTCTCTCTCTCTCTCTCTCTCTCTCTCTCTCTCTCTCTCTCTCTGTTACACACTTCCTTGTTATACAATAATCCATAATCAAAAGAGTTACCATTATTTTCCTCAAGCACATTAGTTTTCCTGGAAAACCCCATGTGACTATGTCACCAAAAAGCACAATGCACACATATAGTTTAGTGTCTGGTAAAACAAGTTATACATTAACTTTTAACTGTCTTTAAAAAATACTCCAAATCACAGGTCATCTGGACAGAACCTTGTGGTTCCAATATAGCATTAAAATAGAAAATTGTTAAACAATTCAGCATAATATTCATATTTTCAACTTGTCTAAATGTCCAGAATCTCTTCCTTCAGTTTATTGAACACATCTAAATATCTATTTCTACAATGCTTTTCAAACTGCTTTTTTTTAAATATATTCCTCTTCTAGATTCCTTCAGGGCTCTTTCCCAAGTCAAAATTCTATCTCTAAGAATTTCTACCCTAATTTCCTTAGGCAGACAATGCCAAGGCATTAAATCAGTATGTTCTAATCTTTCCAGGAAGGTCAGTATGTCAGGTCACTAATCCAGTAGACCTAGCTATTTCATCCTCCATCTTATCCCTTATATTTCTTATAGAGACCCCTGTCCTTAGTGACTCAGGCTCAGTGTTCCCTTTCCTTGGGGGTCTTCAATTCTCTTAACTACCAAAATTTCAAGTTTCTCAAAAGTATTTCCTACACCAAATGTTTCCTGGTACAACTTAATCATCCTGAGTCAGCTAAGATTTCCTACAGAAGAGTTATGGTAGTCAGCCTCCACATCTAGAACCCCTTGTCCCATTATGCCTGGGTTGACTGCTTGAATGGCCAGGGCCAGAACAGTTTGTTTCTATAGACATCAGAGCCATTTCTTTTTCCAGTAATGTTCTCAATCTCTTTCCCAGAATTTTTTGCCTAAGTTATATTTGAGGAAAAAATATGATATAGAAAAAGACAAAACAGACAAGCATACAAGAAAAAGTAACTCCACCTGTATACTGGAAACCCAGAGATGATTTATTCAGGAAACTTATCATGAAGCTAGCTTCATATCATGTCAACCTGACACCCTAAATCTGAAACTTCGAAGTATCTGAGCTGGAATCCCCTCTGTCTCTCCTGGCCTCATACTCTCAATGCAAACTCATAAGCAAGATCCACAACCAGGGCCAGTTCTACCACAAGGAAGATAAGTGGTAGGGCCAGCTATTTCACACTTGTATCCTCTGTGCTGGCTCACCTCAAACTGCCACAAATGTGCAAGATGTGTTTTCCTGAGTACTATCACTGGCGAAAGATAAGGATCATCTCTCCTGTTCTCATGCCCTTATGCCAGGACTCTCCTGAAGCCAAGGAGAGAGGTGGTGCCAGTTCTGTATAGCACTCAGACATCAGCCTGTACCTCAGCATTAGCCCAGATGAGTGGCGTCTACCTGGCCTTTGATGGTAACACGGCCCTGCTGCTGTAAAGACACAGACAAAGACAGACATGGCCCCTTGTGGCGACACAGGCCATGACACCAACATGGTTCCAGGTGAAATTACCAGATACTTATATCAGGCAATTTCTCGACAGCCACATGTCTCTAGTTCTGCCTTACTTCATTGTGCCCACATACTTTGGCTTCTTTTCCATTTTTCCACCCCTTTCTGTATTCCTCTTAATGTCACTCTCAGTCACTGAGTGTCTGTAGTCACCTCAGGAATGGTCTTAGGAGTCTTATGCCAATTTCATGCATTACATTGCCAGGCAAAGGTCATTTCAGGTGTGGTTTGTTCCCCCCTACCAGGTCAGTGCATGTTTGATGGTCTTCTTAGGCTAGCTCCCTGTCCAGACACCATGACACAGACTGGTGGTTGTTTCAGGCTTATTTTCTTCAGGGAATTCAAGGGCACTGATCACTCAGATGTTTATAAGATCAAAACATTGAACATAGACATAGACTTTCTCCTCTCTGGCACTTACTGATAAACATGTGCCACAGCAGTCACGCCTGGAGAGCCTCTAGGGGCAGGTGAATTGTTTTAATTTTTTTTTAATTTTTTAATTTTTAGCTTTATGTAAATGTTTCTTCTTTTTTTATAGTTTTTTTTTTTTTTTTTTTTTTGGTTTTTCGAGACAGGGTTTCTCTGTATAGCCCGGGCTGTCCTGGAACTCACTCTGTAGACCAGGCTGGCCTCGAACTCAGAAATCCACCTGCCTCTGCCTCCCGAGTGCTGGGATTAAAGGCGTGCGCCACCACCGCCCGGCTCTTTTTTTATAGTTTAAATCTTTATTATTACAAGTCATTAAATAATTTTTCTTGTACATGTCCTTATCTTTAACACCTCCCCTACACTGGTAGGAGCCCTTTACCAAACTCAGGGGAGCTAGAATGGCTCCATATCCCAATGGGTGGTTCACCCTGCATTTTAAATGAAGTGGATGCACTCTCTAACATGATTTAAAATGGCAGGGATAGAACCCTACAAACCCTAGGGAAAGAACCTGATATTCTTGTCATTCCCTTCTCCCTCTGTGGTGTTCGGTGGCTAATGAAAAATCATTCCCACTTCGCTATCAGCTTAATAAGGTTCCCAGGACAAATTGACAACCATTATCCTGACAAAAAATGGACCTCTGCCCTCCCTCTGTTTTGATGGCTGCCCCCAAACTATTCTAAAGAGAGCCCATAGCGGGAGATCCTCAGTATTTACCATGGGGGGAAGAAGAAAGCTGCAACAGTAATATACTACTTTTCTGAAGATGAACCCCCTATTCTTCAATTCAAACAGCTTCCTCACCACTCCCCCTAATATAAAGAACTATATGCCTTTTATCTAGCTCTCAAAGAAGTTAAGGCACTCCTTGACCTCTTTTTCAGACAATGTATATGATGTGAATTTGTTCCCCGGCTGTCAAGATCCTTTGTCAAACTAGACGCCAACCCACTTTCCCCTCTACTCATATAGGTCTCTGCCCTCCTACAGGAGAGAGCCTCCCTTATCTTTATCCAGAACATTCGATCTCACAGTCCCCTGCCAGGGACTGAGGGAAATGCACTCGCTGACCAAACTGCCTCAACAGGGACATTCATAGCCTCCACTGAACAAGCAGACCAATTTCATTCACACACACACACACACACACACACACACACACACACACAAATATAAAGGAGCTTCATGCTTGCTTCCCTCACAGCCCCCTTGCTCAGCTCCAAAGGATAATAAAAACATGTGTTTCTTGTGCATCCCTCATTACTACCCCAGCTTTACAAACCATGGGCACCAATCCATGAAGTCTCAAATCCAATGCCTTATGGCAAGTTGATGTCACCCATATTTCTCAATTTGGTAGACAAAAATATGTTTTTGTCACCGTAGATACATACTCACATTTTATACGGGCTACAGTCAGACTGGTGAAAATGCAAAAAGGTTAATTTACCAAATGTTTTCTACCTTTGCCATCATGGGCATTCTTCAACAGATTAAAAACTGATAATGGCCCTGCCTTCACAAGCTCTCAATTTAAAACCTTCTGCACATGCTAGGAAATTGTCCATCATATGGGAATTCCCCAGAATCCTCAGGGCCAAGGAATAATAGAAAGAACACATCAGAACCTGAAGGCCCAACTCTTAAAACAAAAAAACTACTACTTATCCCCCTAATCACTTAACGTACAATTAATGATGGCCCTGACTACCCTAAACATTTTTAACATTCAGAAAAACTCCAAACACCCTGCTATTTCCCTCCACTGACACACACCAAAATTAATTCCCCCTATCCTAGTATGATAGTGAGATCCTTTGGATGGAATTTGTGAGGGGGCAGACCTCCTCCTTACAATTAGGAGGGGTTTCATTTTTGTTTTTCCACAGGACCAGCCTATGCCTATCTGGATTCCTGCCAGAAATATCCGACACCACCCCACCAACCAAGAAGATGGCCTGACTCTCACTGACAGATCAACAACCTAGGAGGGGGAAAAGAAGGCAGATGAGATACCATGTCCAAAGGAACAGCAGGACCTCCTGGAAGGACATCTATAATCTAGTGACAGCTACCTAGGCCATGTGCCCTGCAAAAGCCCCTCTTGCCTCTATTCTCTTGGCTGTTTTTGTCATTCTTCATGGTAAATCTGCTACTGTCCAGCCTCTCCCTAGCCTTCCCAACACCTACAACTGGATATTCTATACTAGTGAAAAATACAAAGGACACAACAAAGTTATAGGAACCCAGGACTGTCCACTTGAAGGATATTAAACCAGGACTGAGATTCTCCTACACCCAGATTCCATCTCTACTATCCCCAGCCCTTTTCTCTGCTTTCCTTACTGAAACACAGGTGAACGTCTCCAGGAGTTTTCCACATATGGAGCTTGCAGATATTGGAGCTGCAGAATGGAATCCTCCAGTCGTGATGGCATCATGCTCACCAACCTTAAAATTCATTTTCAGCTTTCCATCAGCAATGTTCAAACAATGAACAAGGCGAACCTGAGACATAGGTAAACTTTACCCCAATGGCTATGCCAGATGCTCCATAGCTGACCTGCACCTTGTCTCTGTCTCCAAATCAGCTTTTACCCATACTAATAATATCTAACAGGAAAATCACTCTCAGAAGGAACTACAAGCTACCCTCTCCTGAATAAAATATATCCAGTATGCAATGGACCTCCTTCCCTTAATGACCCACCCTAATTCTTCCCAGTGCTTTTTCTGTGCCTCTCTCTTCCAACCATTATTAACAAATGTTCCCATTAACTTTTCCCTTTTCTACCTCCATGGACCCCTGCCTGTGAGAAAAGCACAGGACTTTCCTCTCTTTGACTTATCCTGTCTCTTTGCCTTGTATGGCCCTCCTCAAAACCTCATCTTACATGTGTCCAAGATATCACCATCACCAAATCAGTATGTGTTAACTCTCCTGCTCTCCTCTGGTGTAAAGGTACTACAGGTGCTTGTATCCACCCTCATCTTCAAGGCTCCTTCACTCCCGTGACTGTCGTCCCCAAGGTTTATCTCTACGAACCTGATCTCTACAAACCTGAAGAACTCACCTTGCAGAAGGGAGGAAGTTGAAAGAAGAGAGAAATCTTCATCCCTCTGCTCATTGGGCTAGGCCTTGCTGTTTCACTTGGTTCTACTGGAACTTCTGGAGCAGCCCTTGTCCAGTCATATCTGGCTGGCGACTTCCAGGACAAGCTTGACCAGGCAATGGCCTCTACTACAGACAGCCTTGAATGCCAGAAAACCTCTTTAGCAGGAGTTGATTTCTAAAACCAGAAGGCCTTGGACTTGATGACTGCTGAACGGGGGGGTGGTATTTTACTGGGGGAGGAATGTTGCTTCTATGTCAATGAATCTGGCCTGGTAGAACAAGATGTACAAATCCTCAAAGAGTTCCCGGGGAACCTCCTGGCACCCTGTACTCTCAACTCCCCTACCCCTTGATATTCTAACCCCTTGGTAGCCTGGATTCTTCCCCTCCTTGGCTTCCTACCAGCCATTGGAGCCTTGCTTCTCTTGGCACCCTGTCTCATTCAGTTTCTAAAGCAACAGATTAGTAGCATTGCAAAGGTAACTACCAATCAGGTCTTGGTTCAGTGTTAAACTGTGCCCAACATAGGAGACAATTATTCTGATGATACTTTTCCTTTATAAAAGAAAAAAGGGGGAGTTGTGGGGAAGTGTGCTATGAGAGGCAGCAGGGTACCTAGTTGAGACCCTAAGGGAAGGTAAAAATTTGGTGGTGATTCTGAGCCCCCTGGTTCCTCTCACTTACCTTCAGCTCTCCACAACCCCTCCCACAGAGAGGACTATGGCCAGCAGTCATGTAGGAACAATGCCTCAGGCTCTCCCACATGTAGATGAGGCATCTCCAAGCTATCAGACCAAGCCAATAGGAGTTACCTGCTGCCAGACCCTAACCCACCCCAAGACTGTATATAATAATCCTATTAGGGAGAAGGAAAGGTGTGTGAGAATCATGCCATCCCATTGTCTGAGAGTTTCTGTCTCAAGAGCTATAACACTTCCACCCTGGGAGAGATCTGCTCTGTGGAAGCGCCTTCAGGACCCTTCCCGTGCTCCTTGGTAGCTAGTCGGTTTCTCACTGGTTCAGCCTGGACTGACTCAGCACAGAGCAACAGGTGCAACACCTAGAACCAACTGTGTCATCTGGGTGGAGCAGCAGAGATACTGGTAGAGGCAGCAACGGAGGTGATCCCCTCTCCCTGCTCATACTCTATCCCCTTTGCCTGAACCCTCGAACCTAACAGGGGCAGGACCCAAATTGTCCCTGTTCTATTCTGTTTGGAATTTAAATTATCTTTTTTTATGACAGAATTACTTCTAATTGTAAATTGCTATAATTTTGTTTACTAGATTTTATATTTACAGCAATTTACTACAGTTTTTGTATCATTTTTCTTTTATTACACAGTTTACAAAGATTGAAATAATTTTATTCCAGTCTTCTTGGAAACTATGGTTATATTTTTTTCTTTCCTGGGATATGCATATAATATTTTCTCCAAGTTGTTGTCCATCCTTAGTATTCTTTGTAGTCTATTGATAATTCTAGCAACTCTGACTTACATTTGTTTCACTAAGTTTCTCTTTAACTGTTTTAACTTTTACTGTTTATAATATTGCCCATGCTTTATTCTTCATTCTTAGATTATTGAAGATTAAATCTTGGGCTTTACCTGTTTCTCTGCTTTAGTTGTTAATCCATTGAATTGAATAGCACAATTTTATTTGAAACTTTGTTTTAATGAGCTGCCCTTACTCAAGGGCTCAATCGCATTGCATAAAACTTCTTTTCCCTGTTCACTTACTGGTGACCTGTTCAATGAACACCCAAAGCTGTCTACTTATTGTTGGTTTGAACCTTCTCTTCCTTCATAATTCATGCTGTCCTTTCTATTTTGTGCTATTAGTTCTTTAGTCTCTTCTCTTCTCTCCTCTCCTCTCCTCTCCTCTCCTCTCCTCTCCTCTCCTCTCCTCTCCTCCCCTCC